AGAGAGAGAGAGAGAGAGAGGTCCATCCTGCTCGTCTCTCTCCCTCCACCTTCCTCTTCCTTCCTCCTCCTTCCTCCTCGTCTCCTCTCGTCCATCCTTCCTCCTCCCTCCTCCTTCCCCCGCGTGCCACGTGCCACACCAGCACGCGCGGCACGCAAGCTCTTGTCGATCTCTCCTCCTCCTCCTCCTCCTTCCTCCTCCTTCCTCTTCGTCTCGTGTCCTCCTGCTTCCTCCTCCTTCCTCCTCCTTCCTCCTCCTTCCTCCTCCTTCCTCCTCGTCTCCTCTCCTTCCTTCCTTCTCGTCCCCCTTCCTCCTTCCTTGTTTTTCCTCCTGCCACGTGACACAGCGCCACGCGTTTTTCTTTTGTTTTTAAATCTTGCCTGACTTGTCGATCTTTCTTCTTCTTCCTCCTCCTCCTCCTCCTCCTCCTCCTTCCTCCTCGTCTCCCCTCTTCCTCCTTCTTTCTTCCTCCTTCCTCCTTCCTTCCCCTTCCGCTCCCTTCCTCCTGGTCTCCCCTCGTCCTTCCTCTCACCCCATTCCTCCTCTTTCTGCCACGTGGCACAGCATCACGAGCTTGTTCTTCTTCTTCTCGATCTGTCCTTCTTCCTCCTTCCTCCTCTTCCTCCTTCCTCTTCCTTCCCCCTCCTCCGTCCTCCTCCTTCCTGCACGGCATGGCATCGTCCGCGTGACGAGGTTGCTCAGCCCAGGCATAGGGCCTCGCGTAGCAGCTCGAGGTAAAATCTTTCAATCTCGAATCGTCGGCCCTGTGGCGTGGCGAGCTACGGAATGCCGGGCCCGATGACTGCCGACACTGATAAGCGGAGCCTCGCACGGACAGGGGAACCCCATGGTGACGCTGGACACTTGCCAATTTCGCTCGCCTTCTCTTCGATCTCCTGTGTTTCGTAGCCAGTCTGTTGCAGACGTTCACGGAGCGGCTTGAATTGAGGCGCGGCGAACTAGCTCTCCTCTCTCTCTCTCTCTCTCTCTCTCTCTCTCTCTCTCTCTCTCTCTCTGTCTGTTGGCATTGTTCGTGTTTGCGTGCGCCTCTCTCTCGCGCGCTCGCGTAGTTGTCTGTTCTCTCTCTCTCTCTCTCTCTCTCTCTCTCTCTCTCTCTCTCTGAGCCGCTGTCTTTGTGTGCTTCGTGCGCGTTCCGTTTGTGTGCCTGCATATTCTGTCTCCTCTGGTCCGTCTTTACCTGTGACCAAAAGTGGAATCGCGTATCGGGACTTGAGAAAATGCTGCCGTCACGGAAGCGTTCGCGTTCGTACGACGATGTGGACGGCAGAGATGACGACAGAGGCGCGTCAGAGAGGGAGTTTGGAGACATGCCGTTTGTGGAGGAGGCAGAGCCTGGTGCCTTCGAGCCACCGCAGAAGCTTGTGGCGTTGCACTATAACTTGAGAGAGAATCAGACGAAGGCGGCGAGGGAGAATAGTCCCATCATCCATCTGAAGAAGCTGAATAACTGGGTGAAGAGTACTCTGATTCGGCGCTATACCTCGAGGGGAGATGCCGTGCTTGATCTGGCGTGCGGCAAAGGCGGCGATCTTCTCAAATGGGACAAAGCTCAAGTCTCCTACTACGTTGGTGTCGATATTGCGATCGGCTCACTGAAAGATTTTCAAGTTCGGTACAATGGTCCCTCCGACCACAGTCGCCACTGGCAGCCCACCAAATTTCCCGCCAAACTCATTTGCGCTGATTGCTTTGAGGTCTCTTTGGAAGAGCCGTTAAAGGACGACGCTCCCTTCGATGTCTGCAGCTGTCAATTCGCTTTGCATTACTCTTTCCAGACGTGCGAGCGAGTGGAAACAGCCCTAAGGAACGTGGCGTCGATGCTTAGGCCCGGCGGCGTGTTCATAGGGACCATGACCGACGCTAATGTCATCGTTAGGAAGCTGCGCGAAGCCACGACGACCCTGGAATTCCATAACAGCGTTTATGGGGTTAGGTTCGGGGAGGCTTGGGCCGACAAGAAATTCGCCATGGACGAGCCGTTCGGGATCGAGTACCAGTTCCACCTCGAGGACGCCGTGGATTGTCCCGAGTACTTGGTCCCCATGCAGGTGCTGCAATGGAAGGCAGATCAGTACGACCTCGACCTCGAAGTGAAGGAGAACTTTCACGAGTACATTCACAAACACTGTCAAGAACCGGAGAATGCGGAGTTGATGAGGAAGATGGGGGTCCTGGGAAACGACAAACAAGGGACGGTCATCTCAGAGGACGAATGGGATGCCGCCTACTTGTACCTCGTGTTCGTTTTCCGGAAACGGGGGGGAAGGCCTCGGCCTCAAGACCAGCCGAGACGGGATCGGGGCGGGTTCAGAATTATCAACGTTGAAGACATAGTAACGCTGTCCTGAGAATGGGCGTGTAGAGCCTGTAGGGGGGGGGGGGACAGGTCCGGATCGCCATAGATATAGAGGAGGGACAGGTCCGGATCGCCATAGATATAGGGGGGTCGAGGGAGGGTGGAGAGAAGAGCTTGAGAAGCATCGACGTTGACGTTGAAAGATATCGCATGTGTTAAGGGTTGTCGTGACGAAAGTGTGACCACTATCCGTGTGTTGGCAGTGTGGGGGAGGGGCAGGTCGGGATCGCGATAGATCGCGGGAGAATGCTTGACAGGCATGAGAAGCGGTAGCACTGCAGGGCGGGTCGGGGCGGGGCGAGAAGAGAAGAGTGTGAACCGAGCTGGATTGCTGTTGTTTTTTAAATTTTGAACAAATCAATGAATCCATCGATGGCCTTGGTTGTCGGTCTGCGACTCTGATGAAACGGGATAACCCGTCGGTATCGCAATGAACAGCCGAGGCTAGAGCCTAGAGGGGTGGCGGACGAGTAGCTCCGAAGTGAGAGAATCGTAGAAGATGACGAGATTCTGCAAATTGCAAATTGGGAAAAGTCGAGATTGGTGGACTGTAGTAATTTGAAAAAAAAAACTAAGAAGAGAGATTCCGTAATAGGACTGCGACGAGCTGTGGGGCACAAAGGGCCTGGTATGCAGTGATAGGTGGGAAGCTTGATTGGTATCTGGGTGGGAGGATGAGC